TAAATTAAAAGGAATGAAGTTATTATAGTTAATATATGCAAATCGTTATCAAATCGTATATTTTCCTTTTCTTCCATTACATGCGTGCGATATATATAAATATATAAACTATGTTACATGCGTTATATGCGTCTCTAATTATTTTTCCCTAGCAAATTTCAATTGAACCTAAAGCCGCCACGTCAGTTTAATTGATATGTTAATTGATTGACAACTAAGCAAGGTTACTTTTTAATTAATACAAACTTGAGGTTACATCTTTTCAAATGTTTCTCAATTAATATATAGGGGATTATAGAACAGAGCCACATTTGCCTATATAATCTTGGCAACATTTGTGTAAACGCTTGCACTAGTAATGGAGATGATTTGGAAGATCTATGAATTTGATTAATGGATAGAATCAAAGTGTGCTTTATCCATAGTAGTACTAATACACTTCTCAAGACGATGATGATGAATATTAAAAATGCAGTTACAGGTCAAACTTCAAGTTCCATTTTCCCTTCATGTTGGCGTTAAGAGTCCAATTGTTTTCTCTAATCTGCATATAAGGAACCTGAAAGAAAGATACAACACATTGTTTAACCTTGTTGCTGCTTAAGAGCATTCATAGCAGAGGTCACTAAGCAAGTATATGGATGAACATGCTTCAGCTGAGAAAGAGAGGTACCTTATCAAACATTTCGTAGCCAACTTTGATCCTTACATCCTGATCTTCCTTAAAATTCATTATGTTCCAGGCAAATTCTGCAGCTCCTATAGGGTTCCTCTGTAAGCACAAAAATGAGCATATAATAACTCAAGCAAGAAACATAACTTGGACGAAAGTTATTGAGACTAAAAAACAAAGAAAAGAAGTGAACCTGATTGAAGTCTTGATCAAAATCACACCGGCCTTTCACATTGAAGGTGACACTCTTATCATCTCTCACAGGAAACTCTTTTTTACCACGCACATGACACCGAAGCTTTTGGCGCTTATCATAACGGAATCCAACTCCTAGGCCTGTTGCTGCCTAATAAAAAAATTGTGACAACTCTATGAGTATTAGTCTACGGTGTAGAACGTTTCAGGAGAGAGAGATAGTGGAAACAACTGAAACTGAGATCAAACCTCAGGGAATAAGTGTCTAATCATCGCACAGAAGTAACTCGGTGCTCCGGTTCCAGTATCTAGCTCTCCATGAAGCTATCACCAAACAAAACCCACCAAAGAAAAAATAAGAAAGGTAACAAGAATTGGCAAAGCCTAATACTCATAGTGTCAAAAAACAAAAACATATGTCCACAGACTCTAGCCAAAGCGAAACAAGTGTGGGGATAAACAAGCAAGTCAGATACACATGCTGACAAGTAACTAATGACATTAGAGATTCAGGGTAGCCTCTGAAAGCTCCTCTTCACAATGACCATGAGAGTGAAGTTAACTACTCAGAGGCATAAATCTTATTCCTAAACTAAAAATACATCCTTCAAAAAGCTCAAAAACTCAAAACCCTAAGTCCTAACAAGAACTTCAAGCAAATTAAAGGTAATATGAGTGATACACAAAACCAAAACCATTACTTCAAGCAGATTTAGTAGAGTTTAGGCTTTTCATAGTCCAAGAATTGCTTCAAAGTTCAAAGGCGGTACCTAATTTTATCTTAACAGAAACTTCAGGTTGAACATAAAGTTTGATACTTTACACATAAAACTTTAACCCGTTCAAAAAATTTCAAGACTTTAAGCATTTAAGCTTCAAAGCAAAGACACTAGTTAAGACAAAAACAATACAAACCAGACCAAGCCAGAGAGCATTAACATCACCATAGCGAACTTGTTTCAAAATGATATAGAACAAAGATACATTCTTTATATCAGTACGAATACGAAACTATAAGTTTTGGAGCTACGAAGAGTTTCACCTGCAAATGGGTTCTCGAATTCACGGGAAGCTTCTCCTTCGCATGGATTTTCAAAGACTTTGAATTGCACGTATACCTCAGAGAAGTCTCCATCTCCTTTCACAAAGATTTTCTCGAGAAAATCGCCAAGGAAAAAAACCCACTCTACCTAAAGCAAACAAGCAGAGCGAAGAACCAAACCAAAACCTCACCTAGTTTGACTACTGTATTATCACCAAGGTCCAACCAATAAGTCACTGCCACGTGCTACAAAATATTACCTAAAGCCCAGTTTATATGGGCTTCATATCTGATAAACCCGACTCGGGATTACAATATTACTACCACGTGTTATGGACCTAAGCCCATTTTAAAGCCCAATTTATATGGGCTTTTATCTGATAAAATTGTTCTGTTTACGCGGGTAAACCCGACCCGGAAAAGTGAGTTTCCTTCCAAATAATTGCTACTCTGGTCGTCTCTCTCTGAGTGAAGTAAAGCGAGAGACTCACGAGTCACGAGACTGATCTGAATCATCTATCACCGATGATGAAGAACTCGAGCGTCGTCGATCAGTTACTTCTTCTGCTAGCGATCACCATTCTCACAACCCCCGTTCTCTCCGATCTGGTTCTATCCAAAGTCGAACGTCGTGTAAGTCTCAATTCAATCTAGTTTATAGATTCACGAGGTTCCCTGACCGATCATTGATCCCCCAGAGCTTGAATTTGTTGATCTGTTCTTAACACTTCGAATCAGATCACAAAGATATAAACTTTTCTCTCGCTTCCTTACGATATCGATTGGGATCGAATATGTAACTTTTAGCTTCTCTTATTGCTTAAATGTGATTGCTTTCTTCTGCAGATCGATGTGACGTCACAGATTGCTCGTGTTACCAAGACCCTTAAGGTAAATTTCAAAACTTTTCACGAGAATATGTTGATCAGATTCATCTTATCTATCTGAGTCTTGTCTTTTGGTGTATAGGTTGTAAACTCTGGCTCTGAATCAGTCTCCGAGTTTACTTTAACCTTCCCTAAGTTTCTTGGCAACAACTTGGCGTATCTATCTGTTTCCCATAGCGAGGGAAAAGGGAAATCCAAACGCTCTCTAGCCAATCTCTCTGTGAAAGAAGCTAACCCTAAAGGAATGCCTGATTCTATCAGTTTCTACTCAGTTACATTACCTAAACCGCTTAACAAAGGCGATACTCTGACGTTAGAGGTTGTCGCTGCGTTCACCAATGTGCTTCAGCCGTTTCCTGAGAAGATAACTCAGAGAGATATCCATCTTGTTATGCTCCAAGAGAGCGCGCAGTATCTCTCTCCTTATGTGGTTGAATCTCAGTCCTTGTCTATCAAGCTACCCAATGCGAGGATTGAATCTTACACCAAGCTAGAGAACACAAAGCTTCAGGGGTCAGAGATCAAATATGGTCCGTATAAGAATCTTGCAGAGTATTCGTACGCTCCGATAGTTGTGCACTTTGAGAGCAAGGCTGCGTTTGCTGTGGCTGAGAAGCTTGTGCGAGAGATAGAAGTGTCTCATTGGGGGAACGTGCAGGTCACGGAGCATTACAATTTAGTTCACCGAGGGGCGCAACTCAAGGGAGAGTTTTCGAGGTTAATACTCTTTTACTAATGCGTTGTTTATTCCTTGTTTAACGCTTAGTTATAGTTAACAATCTCATTCACCTCAGGTTAGAATATCAAGACAGACCCAATCCTCAAGGAGTATCTGCCCTTAGGCATTTACTTGCCAGATTACCACCCAGAGCCCATTCCATATACTACAGGGATGATATTGGCAACATCTCCACGTCTCAGATGCAAAGTGATTCGAAAAAGGTTGATATCTTGGATTAATGTTCATTTGATCTTTCATATGTATGTGTTTTGACTCTGGTTTGCTGGTTGATTGCAGACAGAGGTATTGATTGAGCCTCGGTTTCCATTGTTCGGTGGGTGGAAAACTTTTTTCACGATAGGTTATGGTTTGCCACTGAGTGACTTTTTGTTTGCATCGGAAGGGAAACGTTTCCTCGACATCTCCTTTGGCTCCCCTATGCTTGACCTTGTCACTGAAAAACTTATTGTACAGGTTCGTATTATACACTTTCAACATAATAGTATTTTACCTTTCTTAGTTTGCTTAGATTAGAAATGATTTTGCAAATTAATCAAAGCAATCAGTCTTTTTATATTGTCTTGGTTGAATCAGTAATACATCCATGATCTCATTTTCTACAATGGAGATGTCACTGAGTGTTCTTTTGTGTTTTTTCCTCCATTGTAGGTTGTCTTACCTGAGGGTTCAAAAGATATATCAGTTACCACTCCATTCGCTGTCAAGCAGTCTCACGAGGTAACACAGTCTCGGCTTTACCAATATCTATCCTCTGTTTCTATGTGTTGTGATTGTGATATTTGAGGTCTCCATGTCTGATGTTAAACTTGTTGTGTTCGTTTGCAGATCAAATATTCACACTTAGATATAGCTGGTAGACCAGTTGTTGTGCTCGAAAAGAACAATGTTGTCCCAGACCACAATCAGAAAATCCAGGTACATATACCACATCGGACTACTATTACTCTATATCCACAATATTCGTAGTTTAATTGGTCAAGAAATGTGTCTTTTGTACAGGTCTACTATAAGTTCAGCAACATCAATCTGCTGAGTGAGCCATTGATGTTAATCACTGGATTTTTCGTTTTGTTCATCACTTGCATCATTTACACGCGGGCTGACTTCTCCATCTCCAAGTCCTCTGCTGCATATTTGGCGAAACTTCAATGGGATGAGGTACATTGGAATCTTGTTTCAGTCACATTTACATGTAACCTACTAATATCTTATGTGGTAGATATTGAAAACATGGCGCTCTCTTTTGTTTATCAGGTCCTAGCAACACTCCAGGAAGTTCAAAACATCATCCAAAAATGCTTAGCTGCACATGATAAGCTGGAAGCATCGCTACGTGATCTATCAAGAACCGGTGACATTCAAACCTGCAAAGCAGCTCGCAAATCCACTGACAGTTTGCTGAAAGATCTCTCGAAAGATCTGAGACCTTTGCTGGCTTCCTTGCAATCTTTCCCATCAGCCTCTCATATCTCCCCAAAGGTTTCAAATCCTCTCTCCACCGGTTACTCATCTCTTAGTCTCCTCAGCTCAGCTTAATTGTCTTCTTTGTAACAGGTCGAAGAGCTAGTTGCGAAAGAGAAAGAACTTCAAGAAAAGTTGATGGCCAAACATACAACTGTTGTTGAAGGGTACGAGAAGAAATCCTCAGGGCGTGATATTGAAAACCGAATCGCTTCTCAGCAGCAAAAGATCGTAGCACTGAGGCAAGAAGTAGATGATCTTCTAGAGTTCATTGATGAGATCTAGAAAAAGTTAAATGTAGCAGACCCCTTTTAAGTTTAAAACCAGACTTTATCATTAAGCTCTAGTTCCTCCACAACATAAACCTCCAAGTTTAACTTTCAATCAATTTCTCTTACAAAATCATTTACAAGAATGCATATATAGACTCACTTAGCCAATGTTGGTGCAAATATACCAGAGAAATTTGGGATCTTATCGATGTGCCTCAACGCACTCTCAGCAATCTGTTTTGTTCTAAAATCTGCGTTTTGAAAGGCGTCAATAAGCGCTGCAGTAACGTTCTGTTCTTCTCCAAGCTCCCTAGCGAAATCTTCAATACGTAAGATCCTCTCCACTATCCACACAGCTCGAATCCTTAAATTCTCTGTCCTATTCTCCAACAGAACGTTTAATATAGGTGTTAACCCATCTGCTTCAACAATCAACCTTACCGCGTTCTCTACTTCTAAACCATCTTCTAACAACGTCGAAAGAGCTGCAAGTGCTGGCCCAACCACCTTGTCGTTTTCATGGTCCAAAAGATCAACCAGTTTATCCACTGCTTGTCCTTCAACAAGACAAAAGCTGTCTCTCAATGAACATATCCCTTGATGGATCTTACACATCCCTAGAACAACAGGCGGTTTGCTCAGACATGAAAAGATGGACAGACAGTAACTTGGAGGAGGAAGCTCTGGTATCATTGTTAAATTCTTGGTTTCAAGTGAGAGATTCTCCAAAGCTATTGCAGAAGCCATCTGGATGTTGTCTTGACTGTATGACTGAAGGAGATCGAGGAAAACCGAAGCGAGATTGTTTTCACGGCAGAACGAAATGGCCTGTCTCTCCTTGGTGAGTGCAAAGGTGATCCGAGTAAGTATTTTCACAAGTCCATCGAGAAAAGTTCTCTCAAACCGTTTCCCCCTGATCTCTCCTTGGCGAATAAGAACAATCTTGGAGATGATTTTCTCAAAAGCACCGTCTCCTAACAATCTCTGCGTCAGACCCCAATCTCTCTCAGGAAGTTCAGCTAACAGTCCAGCAGCAGCGGCTTGATCCTCGGTGATTGTTGTTGTACTTTCAGATATGATGGCAACAAGGTTCGTAAGCTGTCCTACAGTGCCACGTAACACTTTGGCTAGCTCTTCACTCATGTGTGGTGAAATGTTATGAAGTAGCTTGATAGCAGCCAAACGCAAATCATCATTATCATGAACCTCAACGAACTGAACCAAGCTGATGATGGCACCTGAGTTTCTGATGGCTGAAACAATATTTATAACTGAGTTCGGGCAGCTAGTTAATCCAACAAGAACCTCCAACAGCTTCCCCTGAATTTCTGGACCAGTGTTACTAATTAACAGGAGTAGGTTCTCAATTATGTCCTCTGAAACAAGAGTTTGGTGATGAGGTCCAACAGGGACTTTGTCAAAGTCGTAGCCAATGTTCACTATATTGGCTAGAATAGTAGCTGAGACTTCTTTAAGTCGAATAGGAAGCTGGTTTGGCCCAACGTAAAACAGGTCTTTGATAAGTGGCGGGAGAAGTCCTGTGCGGATTAAGACTTTAGCACTCCCTTCAAAAGATGAGATTTTGTTGAGAGCTCCCAAAGCAGCTCCACGCATGTCACGACTCCCCATAAGATCGATAAGACAAGAACCAACAGTCTGAGCCACAACAACTTTCACATCGTTGTTTAACGCAAGCTCCCCAAGATAAGAAGCCATGGAGACTTTTGTCTCAGGTGAACCCCCAAGAAGCTTAGCTAGAAGAGGCTGGAGCCTACCATTACTAGCCATCTCTCGAACATTTTCCTCTGATCTCTCCAAATTCGTCAAAGTCCTATCAGCTTTCTCAACAGTTGAAACATTCTCCGACTTACTACTCGCCAAACCAACCAACAAGATGATAGCTCCACGAACCAATCCAATCTTCTCACACAAAAGCTCTGACTTAGACAGCTCAAACAACAACGAAACAGCTGCTTCCTTCCCCTTTGGCGGCTCTTTGGACAAAAACTTAACAATAGTACGCACAGTGTCTCCCTCAGCCACAATCGCCTTACTCTCTTCATCCCCCTCAACAACAACTTGCAGAGTCTGCAACGCCTTATACCTCACTTCATGACTATTACTTTTCAACATATCAGTAACCAACCTAACAAGCTGAGGATTCCTCACACGGCGTTTTATCAAACGTATGTTCCTACAAATATCTCTAACATTCTTCAACGCCAACAAAATATTCCCCTCAGCGTTTCCCAAATATAGTGACTGACGAGCAATGTCAAGCTTCATACAATCATTCCTAGCTCTCCACTCTTCGATAGTGTCACGTAAAGCTATACTTGGGCTAAGGTCAGTGATACTCAGCTGCTTTGAAGTTATGGGACATAAAACAGGTTTACCGTTTTGTGTACATTCTTTGAACCATTTCTCGATGGCCTCACGCTCAAAAGTCTGACCGTTCTCTAATGTGACGGGATCTTGCATGACTTGCTTTGTTAAGGGACAGATGAATGCTTCGTATATGTTGTCGATTCCTGGCTCGAAAGTAGAGATTTGGTCTGATTGACTTCCATCACAACTTCCAGCCATATGATGAGAGCACTCACTGCAATCAAGAATTCATATAATCAGTAGAAACCGAGTAATCAGATACTAAAAATAAGTGCATTATTTTTATTAATAACAAATTGAGAGCTAAGCTCATTATCCAAAACTGTGGTATTAGTGTAAGATGTCAATCCAAATCCCACATCGAAGTAAGTTCGATAGTTTAGATAAATAATGTCTAGTATATAATATGATGTGTAACTCTGACTAGGATATGGAATTGAGAAAATCCCCAATAATTAAAGGTTATATAATTGATATGAACAATCATCTGACTGCAAATTGATTTTAAGTTGGAAGTTCATTTTCTTTGATCCCAACTCAATATTTCAAGATTAATGGATAAACCAATCATCTCAAAAGAGAGTATGAGATACTTGTTAGAGACAAAGTCTAACAATTTAAGTTGGAAAGAACTAATTTGATTTATGAAACCAATTAACAAAAATAATCATCATTTTCTACAATCCTAATATGGCAAAATTTACCTAATTTAGCATCTAAGATAAAAGGACAAACATATTTGTAAGGATAGTTCCTTTATTAGTAAGTGACACACACAAAAAAAAAAAAAAGGAAGATAAGTACGCGTACCAGTTCCTCAACGCAATAAGCCAAAAACAAACCGATCCAACGAAGAAGAGTAAAAACGTTCTAGCTTGAGAATTCGATCAACGATTACTGGTTAACCCCTTGAATCGAAAACTTGTGAAAATTGATTCACTTCTTCATCTTTTATGTATAGAAAGAGCGAGTAAGACGTGCTTTGTACTTCTCAAGGTTGAATTCGACGGAGATGTAAACGCGATAGAAAGAAAATGGAAATGGTAGATGAAGAGTCTCACTCAATTAAGCAACCAGAAAGGGTAGGAAAAAAAAAACACCGACAAAAGAAAATACGATGCAAAAAGGGTTGACTAAAGTTAGAAAAGTCACGACAGCCACACAACCACGTGTACATTTAAATCGACGGCTAATAAATCTGGAGAAGAAAACACGCGTACACATAATCCACGGCTAATTAAGCTAACAAGTTAAGTAAGGCCCATATAAGCCCAATAAGTAACTAACGAATCGCATATTAATTGTTTTGATATGTTAAACAACTTTACTAACTAAGGCCCATATCGGCCCAATAAAATCCCAAATCTCGAAACGTTATCTATGGACTACCCATACAGAGTAAACCACGTGTGTATTAAGCTCAGAGGCGCGCACGTACGAACTTACTACACATGCGAGAGTTTTTCCATTTACGCATTTAAAACAAAAAAAAGCCGAAACGACTGTTTAGAGGAAGAAAGGGGAAAGAGAGAGAGAGAGTAGAGAGAGAGAATCAGAATGGGGGAGGTAGCAGCTGATACATTGACGAAGAAGAGGAAGAAGAAAGGAAGACCATCTCTAATTGAAGTCCAGAAACGAGCTCTGAAACAGCAGCAACTGCTTCAAAGCAAGCTAGATCAGTCCAAGGACGAGGTTAGATCTAATTTCAGAAACCCTAATTCCGCCGCAACCCAATCCAATCGCAGGATTGTTAATCCAATTGAAGAATTAGAGGAAGAAGATGATGATGAGAGGAGAGATAAGAAGCAGAGACTTTTGCACGGATTGAACTCACACGATGATTTCGAATTGGACGGCGATGCTTCATCCATCAGCCGCCGGAAAATTATTGGCGCCGGATCTGACGTTACGGTAGTTATTTGTGTAATTTATATAAACAAAGTTCGAGTTTTTCGATTTGAAATTAAAAGTAAAAGTAAAAATTAAAAACTGTTTGATTTAGGTATTTAAAAATCGTTGAGACTTCGCGCGTTAATTGAAGTTTCCTCTTTTGAGTGAGTGATGAGTTTTTTTTGACTATTTCGTTTTTTTTTTTGTGTTGGTGGAAAATGGAAGTTCATAAATTTTTTTCTACTTTTTATTTTTATTTTTTGTTTTTCCTTTTTGTCTCTCACCTTGTTTTTAGGTTTTAATCTTTCTTTGAATATTATATGTTTATTCTTTGATACTGGGTTATTAATTTTCGTAGTTATCTGAATTAAAGACGGTTCTGCACTAAGAGTCCATCATGTCTGAAGACATGTTCTTCAGTTTGTCTTATTATTACTCTTTTACTTTTTGTTTTTGTTTTAAAGTTTTGTACTTCAAAGAGACTTTGACTGTCTCTTCTTCTTTTTGATTCTTCCATGAACATGAAAGTTAGTTATTACTTATCATATACAGACGACACCTGTTTAGTTGTATTTTTTAACTTGGGGTTGATGAAATATCTGTTGGTTTTTTTCCTGCAGGGACAAAAGGGTTCGAAAGCGACAGACATTCTTCAAAGTATGTAAACTTGGAATTTGTGTAAGAATAAAAGTGAAATCTTTCTGCTGTGTAACTAAAAAAAAAATGTGTGGCATTTACTTGTGGACAGGGGTGTCTCTTGTGGAGTCTGGGCCCGTTACACCATTGCCAGACAAAAAGTTGCTCTTGTTCATCCTTGATAGAGTTCAAAAGTATGTCAATGTTTTTTTGCTTCTGTCATAGCCTCCCTTCTCCATGTTCTTCTCGTTTTTATGATGAAAATCTGGGTTTGGTTTCTGAATAAATGGTTGTTTTACAAACCTGTAGGAAGGATACTTATGGAGTGTACTCTGACCCAGTTGATCCAGAGGAGGTGAAGTTTCCTTCTTCTTTTTTATGCTAAGCTTGTGTATGTTAACGCATTGGTATTGCTTTATCTTTATCTGTGAGAGTTTGTTTTACAGCTTCCTGATTATCATGAGATTATCAAGAATCCTATGGATTTTACCACTTTGCGGGAGAAACTAGAAGCCGGCGCGTACTCTACCTTAGAACAATTTGAGGTACGTCTTGTCCTTTGTACCCCTATCACCACACCCTCGAAACTTCTCACTGAACTGTCACATTCACTTGGCTGTGTAAAGATACATCTCTGCTGCTCTTTACTTTTGCTATAGATGGAGAGTTTGATTCTTGTATACTTAAGTCCCATTCTCTGCTGGGATTTGTGGAAGTTGCTAAATCCGTAAATGGGATAATAAACTTATGGTCTTACTTAATTTTACTTGTAATCTGAATAGATTTCTCCAACATTTGTATAGTTACTCTGTGGTTACCTCTCTGTGTAACTATGAGAATATGCAGACATAATTTCTGACTCCCTCTCATCTTATGCAGGAAGATGTATTTTTAATATGTACAAACGCAATGGAATACAATTCTGCAGATACTGTATATCATCGACAGGTTTTGTTCTTAGCTTTACATAAGAAATTTTACAACGCTTTTTCCCTTTTGGTTATTCTCTACTTTTTCTAATGGTGTCTCTCTTACTATAACAGGCACGAGCTATGCTTGAGCTGGCCAAAAAGGACTTTGCAGATTTAAGACAAGAAAGTGATGGAGAAGAGCCAGTGTCACAGTCACAACAGCCTAAAGTGGTTAAAAGAGGCCGTCCTCCAGGATCAGGCCTTAAGAAACAGCTTGAGCCATTACTTGACCGCACTATTTCTGAAAGTTCAGCTGATGCAGCAGCACACACTCCTGGTGGAGATAGCTCTAGATTATCCGGTGCTTACAATCTAAGAAGAACACCTCCTTCTGTTAAAATCAACCATTACAGCGAGAACCAAAGTAGCTTCTTGATTGATTGGGAGAAGGAGTTTCCACGTAATGATCTGCTTTTTTTCTTTGTTTTACTTTCTAGTTCTGTTGACTTAAAATCCAGTTTTCTTTTATTTTCTGTATAGCTTCTGTTGTAAAGGCCGTCAACAAATACGGAATGAAGAATGTCGACGAGAACAGGCGAGATACTTACTTCCTGAACTCTACTTGCTTGCAAGAAGCTTCGGTTTGTACAACTCTTGACGATGGTGTAAAACAGTTAACTCCAGTAAGTGTTAGCAACTTATATTACATCTCCCTTTTGTTTTAACAAACAAATAATCTTACCCGTCGTTTCTTTGTGTAATAACCAGGTTGGGTTGAACACTGAACATGGGTACGCTAGGAGTCTAGCAAGATATGCTGCAAATCTTGGTCCTGTTGCTTGGAGACTTGCTAAAAGGAGGATTGAAACAGTGTTACCAAGTGGAACCGAGTTTGGTCCTGGTTGGGTTGGAGAGAAGCCGGAAGCTCCTCCTCAACAGCAAAAGTGTTTAAATGACTTGCCATCTGAAAACATGCACTCTTCCAATGAAAGCAAAGAGATTGCATCAGCTGCTCGCTTGGTTAATCAAGAAATCGTGAAGTCAGAACCGCTGATCAATCCTGAGAGCAACGGTCTAGTCCGTGGTTGCAGAGAAGTTTGCCATAAACCAAATCAGATGCTGGACGCAGCTTTCTCGCAGCAAGGCTTGTTGCCTAACGCCAAACCAGAATCAAACCGGTTTCAACATGATCTCAATGCTAAGATCGTCTCACCAAACTCACCAGTCTCTAACCTTCAGGCAGGGTCATCGCAGCAACATCCGGATTTGGCATTACAGCTCTAACTTACTAGTCTTGAAAGCTTTTCCTGTAGGGAGAGGAAGAGGTTTGTTGTTGTGGATGAATATATAGGGAAGTCTTTGTACAGATTGTTTGCAACTTCCAGATTTGTGTAGGTTAAGACGAAAACCGATTAAGAGCGTACTCGCAAGGTGTATGAATGTTATTTATACAAATATTTTTCTTTTATGTTTGATCAGTTTAGAATAATGAATGTGCATTTGAGTTTGACTTTCAGGTTATGAGAAACGAATTGTAATATGATATCTCTCTTTATATTTTGCCTATGCTTCACTTGATTGTGTTTATATTTTTGTAATTGTTGGTGTAATGAGAGAAGCCATGTGCGTTATACTGTAACGTTTGTTTGGAAAATTTAAATTGATCTGTTTATTGCTCCTGGTATGTTTCACTTATCTTAAGATAATGCAGAATATTTGCTGAAAATTATTGATCTTGTCATTTACTTGCATTAAAGATTTTTTTGGTAATGCCTATTCTCTTTCTAATTAATGGCCGTGGATGAAAAAGAGGAGATTCTTTCTGAATATTTTATTTAGGGAAAGATTCTGTTATAATCAATTCTGTTGATTTGACTATATATTGTTTGATTTTCAAATGCGCCGTAATTAATTTTCAAATCCATTTATTTAATTATAAAATAAATTAATTATATATAAGGTTGTGAAAAAAAAATTAAAATCCATAAATAAGATTAACTAGTATATTCTTATTGGATGGTTAAAAAGAGACAAAATTCTAGAACAAAAAAAAACTGATTTATTTAGCAAAAAGCAGTTTAAAATTCTAGAAAACTGATTTTAGCAAAAAACTGATTTTCACCAATATTTTTATAAATTTACTTCTTCAGTTCTTTGTATCTCTAATTGAGATTCTCTTTCCTTCTTTAAGGAAAAATCAAATCAATCAAATTGTCTCTTCTGTGTTTGGTGATTTTCCCCATTTTCTGGAATTATAGAGACAGAAAAAAAACTCTCTCATTCCTGTTTATAACCTAGGTTCTTTTTTTTTATTCTTTTCTTGTGTAAGGGTTCCAAGGAGCTAGTATTGGTGATATTTTGTTGGACATCATCTCAAACCAGCTCCTTCAGAATCCAATTCATCATCGTCGCCAAAACGATTATTAAGAAACATGAGGTGTTTCTCTTGTCTCGACACAAGAACCAATGACATGAGAATCAACATTGATACCGCTTCATACCTAACCAGTGGTTCCTCATCAGGTTTGTTTTTATAAATCTCCATCTCTCTCTTTTATTTATTCATTACAAAACGAGATCTCCAATTCTCATGTGTGTTTGGCAGTTGATACAAGAAGCAATGCAACAGGAGGAGGGTCGAAATCTGGCATTTTAGGTTAGAAATCTATTTTAAAATTGATTATTAATTTCTTCAGACAATATTTTGATTATTGTAATGATAAAAAAAAAAACAAATGTTTTGGTCAGTTAATGGGAGAGTGAATAGCCCTAAACCAGGCGGTGGTGCAAGGAGTTTCACGTTCAAGGAGTTAGCCGCCGCAACCAAGAATTTCCGGGAGGTGAATATGATCGGAAGAGGAGGATTCGGTAGTGTCTACAAGGGATATTTATATTCAGGACAAGTGAGTTATCAACCTCTATATTAAAACATCTGAAATGTTGTAAGAATCTTGATATTGAATCAAAACGCACGTATAGGTTGTGGCAATCAAACAATTAAACCCAGATGGGCTTCAAGGAAATCAAGAGTTCATAGTGGAGGTTCTGATGCTTAGTGTCTTCCACCATCCAAACCTAGTAACTTTAATCGGTTACTGTACTTCTGGTGCTCAGAGACTTCTTGTTTACGAATACATGCCAATGGGTAGCTTAGAAGATCATCTTTATGGTAAGTCATTGTGTTTTACTCTTTGTTTCATATAAAGTGTCATTTGAGAGTTTTTTTACTCACTAAAAAAACCATTTAAAAGCTTTAAAACTTTATTTTATTTTCTCTATTCACACATTAAATAAAAATTTCTTTCTAATTAATAAAAAATAGGGATAAAGGTGATTTTCTTATATAATTTTTGCATTGGAAATATACAACACTCTATAAAACAAAAACAAAATCTCACATGACATTTTTTGTGAAACGGTTAGAATATTGTTCATCATGTTCTTTTACTAATCAACATGACTTTTTTGTTGTTGTTGAACTTTAGATCTTGAGCCTGATCAGAGACCACTAAGCTGGAACACTAGAATGAAAATAGCTCTTGGTGCAGCTCGTGGGATTGAGTATCTTCATTGTAAAATAAGCCCATCTGTTATATACCGTGATTTGAAGTCCGCAAACATTTTGTTAGACCGAGACTTTAGTCCCAAACTATCCGACTTTGGACTTGCTAAAGTCGGTCCTGTCGGTAACCGGACACATGTGTCTACACGGATCATGGGTACTTACGGATACTGTGCTCCAGATTACGCAATGAGCGGCAAGCTAACCACCAAATCAGATATATACTGCTTTGGTGTAGTGTTGCTTGAGCTTATTACTGGTAAGAAAGCTGTTGATATGAGTAAACCACAAGGAGAGCAGTACCTTGTTGCATGGGTAAGTAAAAACCAATAATTACAAACTAAACCGGATTAAACCGGAGCTAACTTGTTGGTGTTTGTGCAGGCTCGACCGTATCTTAAGGACCCTAAGAAGTTTGGACAACTTGTGGACCCGTTACTGCGTGGAAAGTACCCTAAGAGGTGTCTTAGTTACGCGATTTCTATTACAGAGATGTGTCTGAATGAAGAAGCTAACCGGCGTCCGCAAATAGGAGATGTGGTGGTAGCTTTTGAGTATATAGCTGCTCAGAGCAAATCTTATGAAGAGAAAAGAGTGGCTCGCAAGTCTACGGACTCTGACCGGTCGAGAGGGGAAAGAAAACTGAGTTTCTAAGTTTGGGTCAGTCAAATATAAATGTTGGATACAGAAGGTTGCTATAAGACCTCGAATTTTTTTTTTTATTTCTTGTTTTTTTTTTTCCTGGGGGTTTTCATTTAGTTCAGTTTTAAGAATGGGACTTGGTAAGATGAAGAAGGTAATTTTTTTTGGTAAATACTCTACAATTTCCTTATGATATTTTTGGTGAAGTAAAATTTAAACGAGAGCAAAACGTATATATACTTACACTAAATTAAATAGTATTATATTATGTTTTTGTAATGATTAATTTAGTTACTAGCTAATGGTATAATTCAGTAGGATAAACCTACGAAATGAATGTAAATATATGTGTAATGATTAGTATTATGACATTTAATCATATATTTATTTTCCAGATATAAATATTTATTCATATATTGCATTTCTCCAAGATCTGCAGAATGTTTCCATTTGAATGTCAATTTCAAATGAAATGTGAGAATATGACATACATGATACAAATAATATAGTCAATCCTTTAATTAATTGAGCTTATTTCTCGCAAGAAAATAACTTAAATGTGATAAATGCAAGTAGGTGACGAACGGAATCACGCGGGGGGCTCTAATATTGTATGTCAACTTGGCCACACTGCCTAATCCAATCTACACATTATTCCCCAATCTATATATACTAACATCTGCCCACGTTTTCTACGTGAGCTTGTTTGTTACACGATAGTTTTAATGATCGAAAAATTAAATAAAAGCAAATTGAATTTCCAAGACCGGTCGACAAGTAAAACAATTGTCTATAACTCAAAACTGTTTAAAAAGTGTATACACTGAATATCTTATGATGCTATTGTTTCCACATTTATCATAGGTAAAATATATCTGAAGTTCCAGTTTTTTTTGTAACTGGCTTGAAGTTACAAGATTTCGAACCTCGTTTTCGTATATTCTTGAACATTAGCATATACTCTCGCATGTATGATGTATGTACAGTATATACGGACTCGCCATTGCTAAACAATGTTCTTCTTGTTTGACGCCTTCCTACTCTCTATTTTCTAATAACAGTATATAATATATTTCGAGCTAATTAAGTAAATAATTGTGATTTTTACATTGCAATAAGAAATTAGCTACGTGTTTATTTTCTTAGATAACCTGCTGTATATTTGTTTTCAAATATCAATTATGTCTATGTTTTTTTTTGCTAAGAATGTTAATATCATATTAATGATTGTCAGATTTACAACAAGTTAAATCTAGAAAATACTCTACCTTGGCAAAAAGAAGATAAAAAACAAGATAGAGCAAAGTTTATAAAAGATCTCAATGACTGCAGGATTAGATGATCCAGCTTGATAGGAGAGATCGAAATTGCTTCCTATTCCTCCTAGCCAATATTGTATTACGCACTTCCCTGTATATGATCCGCACAATGACCAGGGGAGAAATTGTGCAGTTGTTGTGGTACTTGTTGTTCCTTTGCTTCCAGAGATGGTAAACTGCAGATTGAACAGCTAGCTTACGGAGTAGAATTGGACTGTGAACCGTGGTGGATCTTATCCAGGAGAGTAACTCATTCCAATCAAGGAAAGCCTGCGGTGGTGGGTTCAGCCGGACAAGAACATGGTTCCAGACTTCTCTGCTATAAGCACAAGTGAGCAGTAGGTGATCCCTAGTTTCAACATCATGAGAGCAGAGACAACATGTGGTAGGGATTTGAAGTCCCCAAGACGCAAGCCTTGCTCTTGTAGGTAACCTATCTGCATTAGCAATCCACATGTTGAAAGCAAGCTTAGGGACTGCACCTTTGAACCATACACAATCAACCCAAGGTTTCTTCACAGATT